AATGCTTTTGTTTGAAAATGTTGAAACATAGATATCTGGGCGAAAGGGGAAATGTCAGTTTTGGGTGAAACGAACCGCGCCCGTAAATGATAAATGTTAAAATGCATATCCATACTTTTATATATTAGTAATTAACACCTGAATATTGTGTTTTGACTACCGAGTAAATAAGTATTGATATCAATGTGTATTGCCAGCCAAAAAAAAATAACAATAACAGGTGAATAAATACCCCAATACGTTTTGAATCGTGATATATGATAGTAAACCGACTATTAATAAATAACGAACAATAAAGCCTATGATCCAAAAGTGTAGGAGTACTTTTTGTATAGGCGTTTAATTTGAACAAAAATTGTTGTACCTAATTAATATATGCTTTGCAATTACGAATTTACACAGTTGTGGAGTTCCGAAAATAAAACATCAAACTTATAATGTAATTAATATATTTTTTTTTTTATTACTTATACGGGTTTTATATTATATTTAGACATGGTGCACCAGCTGATGTGCTACGGTTTGGAAAACAGAGAGATATCTCATTCGAAATTTAGTATTAAAACATATTTTCTTTAGTATTTTTAGGAAACCTTTAAAACAATTGAAGCTCAAATTTTAATTTTTAACGATCGAGTGTATAAGATAATGCATTTTCGTACTATCATGAATATTGTACCTATAGTGTTTTTATCCTACAACAATGGCATACACAGTCAATACACAAAAATTATACTTTTAGCTTCTGTTGTTTCAGAACGAAGTGTTGAATGTATTGATTTTACAATTATGATGACTCATGGGTATTATTTTTTAGAAATTCGTTTAAACAATACCTACTACGATAAACAAAATATAGATAAACAGGAATTTTGAATAAAAATCAGATTTTGTTATACTGTCGTATAGTTTATTAAAAAACGAATAATTGTAGATTGGTACTTGAAATTTTTGCAAATACCTTTGTAGCTAAGTATGATATGGTATAATTTTAATGTTTTTCATGAATATCGAAGTTTGTCAAAATTGTGCACAAATGTAAAACTTATTTTTCAGTTAAAAATCCTTAAAATGTTTAAGGTATAGGTTCATATATACCTAAGATCTTAAAATTAATAAAAGTTTTCATAAAAGTATTACAAGAATCATAAAAAAATGAGTATAATTCCTCAATTTAAATTTTTTTGTAGAAATTTAAAAAGTATTAACCGTGGAAATTTGAAATATTCCGCTGTTAAATAGTTAATTAAAATCTTCGACATTAGAAGTAATAAGTTATTAATTCTATTAAAAATTATGAATTATTATAGTTACCTTTAGAATCTAAAAAGTATGATAAGGTTGGTATAGTAATGTAATACCTATTCTAATAAGAAAAATACAACGATATTAACACGATGACGTAATAATGGTAACGCTCTCAGTGTCGCACAAATTTATAGGTTGGTTGTTCATTTGAAGTTGAATAATGGTAATATGAATTTTAAATATCATTCAATGATGCAGATGCAGCACGAAGGCTCCTTAAATGGGCTTCGCAAGAGTTGATCCTCGGGGCGTATGTTTATTGCGCCAAAATTACCTTTTTACCTGTAAAATATCTATTGATTGCGAAACGTATCGACTCCGCCGAACTTTTTTACCTATTGATTTCGCTGGGCCCCGATTATCAATCCACTGAACATTTGAAAATTACAAATCTAAATAAGCTAAAGTTGAATATATTAATTATATGAACAATATATTCTCTTGTATAAAACTGGCCTATATCACTATTTTTTACCATATACCTATATATTTTACTTATTTTATTATTTACGACAATTATTGATAATCATTCAAATTACAAGAAATTAACTGTATTTTTTATTACTTTGAATATTATATTATATAGATCTATTTAAAAATATGAGGTTTTAGAGTTATATTATTTTAATAAATGTTATCCCTTTTAGACGAAAATGTATGAATTGTTTTTTGAAATTCTTTTATCGGTTATTGTTTAGAAAACAGTCAGCGGAATCAACATAAACAATTATTTGGCGGAATCGATAGCCGGTGGAATTGATATTAAAGCGGCGGAGTAGACAAAACCTATATTCCCAGGTCATTAAATATTTTTTTCAATATTTAGTCAAATATTCAGCTTATTAGCATAATCCAATAAACATCACGAAAAAGTCGTGGCTGACAAGTTTCTCAAAAATTTTGTTCTTTTTAGCTTTTTAATAAAAAAAATTGAATAGGTAAAAATTATTATGAAAAAAAATGTAGCGATTTGGGAAAAACGTATGGCTCATTGTTTTTAAAAATTAGTATCTGGTAATGAGATTACCAGTAAACCACGACAACACTTCAATAAAAAGGTGACGTTTGAACTTATTACGATCGCGCAGTCTATTGATATACATATACAACAATGGAGATCAACTCGTACATACTCAATAATGACCCGGGAATCAATTAATACATAAAGTAGGTCTCGAGAATCAACTCACTGCGCTTAAATGATTCTTGAAAATAAAAATACTTACCTACTTAAAAAAAAAAATTCATATTATTTTACTTATAATATTGTATTAATTACGTCACACAACAGGTAGTGTATGAGCCATGAGGTACTAAAATATTATGGTTAATAATGTTAATATAATAATAATATATTAATATGTGTATCGCATACGACATGCACATGAAATAAAAAGTGTTTTAGCGTAAGAAGAAAAAAAGGTATTAAAATAACATTATGAAACAGTCRCCAGGAAATTCAAGGTTTATTTTGATTAATTTTTTTTTATTTTGGCGTAACTCTAAAAAAAATGACTGCAGATACTTGAAATTTTCACTGAATGTTTATATATGCATTTTCTATATTTGATAAAATTTTCAAATTATTTTGATTAGTTTTGAGCTGTTTACTGACATTTTAATTTTTCAAACTTTTTAGTTTTTTTCTTCTATTAATGTCAATTATATTTTATTGGTCGGGTAAAAATCCTTCAATATTTAATATTAGGATTCAAATATATTTTGTCAATAGCAGTTGAAAAATGTTAAAAATACATAGACACAATTTTTTTTATATAAGCATTTAAAGTTCAAATTTTGTCTAAATACGGATAAATTACGACAATGTTCAAATTATCTTAGATAGAAATTTATAAAAAATTTTCTTTTTAAATCCAAGATTTGAAAATTTAATYYAAGATTCCTTATAAATTTAAAAATGTCCACCATAAAGTCAAATATTTTTTTAATAAATATTAATAATCTATAATATATCCTAGACAGATAAACCTCCTGTGCTCAGAATCGTTTTTCGTATACCTACAATGATATAATAACATTGGATTCAAATTTAATTCTATCCATTACAGTAACGTTAGTAACCCACTTGAAACCTACTGTACAGCAGAGTGATATCCACTTTTCACTTTTTTTTTACGTTATTTAGTTGAACATTATTCCCAGAGGCGCAAACTAATTCAAATTATGGGGTGGCAAAACAAAAGTATTCAATACCTACCTGTTAGAAAAAAAATTTCACTGTGCTCACTTACATATAAATAATAATATTAAAATGTATCAAATAAAAATATAATATAATATAAGTGTATTGATGTATGCTTATTGCGTAATGTCTGAAAATTGACCATCGAGTATCAATCAATTGACCACCTACCTACTAAATGAAGGCGGCAGTTGCCCCCTCCCCCTGCACCCCAAGATTTGCGCCTCTGATTATTCCCGATCAATAAAATATTTTTTTTAAGCTAATTACTTCTCCAAAGAATCCGAYAACACAAACACCATCGCTGTAATTTTGAGCGTTTTTGAAACTTCCATATTCTCTTTTATAATGTACAATATGAACTTCCATAGCATATCTAACGCAAAAAACAAACAATCTATTACTTAACTTTTTCTTTAACTCGGACACATAGTTAATACAATCTATTTGAATAACATTATAATTATTGGAAAAATCATATAAGGTAAGATCTTTAGAGAATTTGTTCATATAAATACATGCACGTAAATTATTATAGGAATGTTATTGAGTATCCATATCAACACTTCTGATAAGTTAAAGAGTATTTGGAAGTAATAACTTTTGTGATTATTTTGGGATAGGTATTATAATACTAAAAACTACATTGAAAATTATTCCCAGCTGGGTAAAGCTTATGTTTTTTTTGAACTATCAGAATATATTTGAAAAAAAATCAATAATTTAATTTTTAAGATTACATATAGGGTTACGGATGAGTTCGAGTTGATCCGTTTAAATGTATACTCATTATTTCGACAAGATTTAACTTGTTTGAAAATATTTTTTACATTATTTTATGTCGCGTGAAAACAAGTAGTTACTTCAAGTTTGAAATTATTTTATTTTGTACATAAAATTACAGAGAAATGTTCAATTTTTACATTTCTAATCACTACTTACTTGTGCCCGTTGACTTTGTGTTCACTTCCCATATCATTTTTACCCCAATGGAAATGCATCTGTTCGAACTCATACTTACTATCGAATAGTGGCCCCCCGGTRATAAACGGCACATCATCAGAATTATTGGCCAGTTTAACGTTAACTATTAAACCAAAAATTATTATAATAAATCATTGCAAGTGCAATTAGTATTTAAATTCCTACCTGTATGTCCAGTATTAGTGATTTCAAGTGTTGCCTTATCAAATGCCCAATATCCAAAAYAACGTAAAAATGGGAAATATCGTCTCACTGCGTATTTTGTATTTATATCCACGGGTGACTGGAATTTAATACCCACGTGATCTTTAATAACATATGGCCAGTCATCCGAACTATTTTCTAAAATTAWAATAATTCAATTTTATAAAGGCTGCAGTATACCATAGCCATAGGCGCAAATAGTGTTTGAGATTTTTTGATTTTTTTTAGGGGGARAGGGGGCTGAAACCTTAGCTATTTAATAAAGCATTTATACAATATTAATTTAATACCTAAAAATGTTTTTAATACAACATATAGATATACCACATACTTAAATACAATAATATTGACAAAGAATTAACCTTGCTTAAAATGTTTTCAAATGTAACTAATATATAATATACATACTACATTATGCCCCTCATAACTTTTAGGAAAACGATAGTAATTATTAATACTGTAAGGCCTTAGTGCAACAAGTAACAACAAAATAATATAATTATAAAACAAATTTTTACTTTAAAAAATGTACCTAACACAGTTTTAGAGCTATATTCTTCGGTTGGATTTAGCAAATGTGTTTAATATTATTTAAGTATCTACTAAAATATCTTTATCGATATTTAATATTGCTAAATTAGTAAATCGTCCCTGAGTCATGCTAGCTCGGACATATGTGTTACCTATTCCTTCTCATAGATGAAAAGAACCTTTGACAAGTGGCTGAGCTCACTGGTAATGTAATTGCCACTTGCTTAATTTTAAATAAATTAGGAAATACTTCTTCATTTAGATATATCTAAATATATTTTTTGATATTTTCAAAATTAACTTCCTTTATCATATTTTTYATTACTTTTATTTCACATTTTAAGTTGGAACAGTTGATATTTAAAGTATCCTGCATACAAATATACAAACAAACAAAAAACAGTTTAAAAAAAGTATTTGTTTAATGGAATTCATTATTTATAAATATTGTACAAATACAAGTTACAACCTACTTAATAATAATCAATCAGAAAAGAAGATAATAACAAAAATAATATCACAACAAATAACATTTGTTCATTTACGGATTACAAATTCTTAAAAATATGAACACGAATTTTGCATCATAAGCTATAATAATAGTTATAAACCTTAAAAAAAAATTAGGAAATATTTGGGAGGCTTGGACCCTAAAGCCTCCCCCCCTATTTGTGGCTATAAGTCTATAACCATGCCTACATGCCTGCATGTGATAATATTATATTAATGTGTATTGTGTTTGTATATACTATAGTGGTGTAGGTATTTGAGAGTTTGCAATGAACATTACGTATAATATACTCCAGTATCTAAGCACAACGTACAAACACCTCATAAACATATTATGAGTGTACCTACACAAGATAAAAATTGAGATTTTTTTGTTAACTAAAGTTTTGCTGACATTCATGATCTAAATTWAGATATATAGAATTACATTTTTTAACATTTTGTAAATCAGACCACAATATGATATAAGTAAGAACTTTGGATTTAAAATGTACAAAASAATACGGTGTATTACATCAATATCACAGTAACAACTGTTACACCTCATTGATATTTTGAATTTCTATCATTTTTCTTTTAGATAAAAGATGAGACATTTTTACAAATTGGTTCAAAATCAGGTTTTTCATTTGAGTTTAAACAGTTCTGGAAAAAGACGTTTGAAAACTAAAAAATTACTGTGCATTATTTAAATGCAGATTTTAGYGCTTGTATAATTATAATTTTAGAAACCGGACATTGATCTGCCTGCAAAATGTTCTCTCTTTTTTAAATAAAAAAAAATTAACAAATCCGACTAGTGTACAAGGCGCGAGAGTTCCTCGTGTAAGACATGCTTTTGTATTAGAAATGCACCAGCTCCGACATCCTTAATACAAGAACATTTATACTCGGTATGTCACCTAAATGTACACGTACGTATTTAAAGAATATATGTATTACTATTTATATATGGAATAACTTGCATATATACATATAAACATTATAAACATATACCTACATAATATTCAAAATATTACCTACACGGAAATAAATTAAGCATAATGTTGTACTTTTGACTAAAATTGTTTAGGGGAATTATTAATCAATATATATTTTCAAGGGGCATATCGCACTTTTATAGTTTTATTTAGGTTCCTACCTTTAAGRCTATACACCATCGAGTGTCCACGTATCTGCTATTAAAAGAAGATGTTATATCTACTACATACAGATGCAGGTGACACTCTTCAAATTATTGAATTGTTAACATTTAACTAGAGTTAAAGTAAAGAAGAATAGCAATGATAAATATTAATAATGGCCATAACTMTAAAAGCAAAGTAACGTAAATGAAAAACATACCGACTTGAATAAAAAGACACCATTATCTTAACAAGAATTATAATAATATGTTCCTCTTAGATTTGGAGTTATCGATATTCTATTAAATTAAAAACAATAAATGCATGTCTTAAATACCTAAGTAGATAGATCTTGGTATGGTAGTATTTATAATYCAAAGAAAGCTTTTGAGTTTTGATTCATAAAAATTTAATTTAAATATACATTTTGATACGCAAGCTTAGAATAAAATGATTAATCATAAACAATTTTTTTATAAAATATCATGAATGAAACWGTGAATTATCTAATATTCTAAACGTCAATAGTATTAAAAGTTAAGCATAAAGATTTTAATGATTATAATTAGATACTAACCACTAGCAGACATTGAAGACGCCAAAACAGCAAACATAAACCACAGTGCAGACGTCCAAATCATTAGATGGCTGTAACAACGATCATGATGACTTAAGACACAATGAACAACACATAATGAATCTCGACATCTTATTGATTATCATATCCCCCTAACCTCCTGCTTATAAATTAAATAAGGAAATGAAGTATACGTACTAGAGTAATACAGTTAAATTAACCTCGGAGTATTTTTGTAATAATAAAGTTTGGTCACTTTTATTTTACTCACTAAGTTTAAAAAAACAAATCAGATATTGTATCATGAACCTTTGAGTAGACTGTTCAAAATAGAAATTACTGCCTCAATTTCAATAGCAGTTTTGAAATTTATGGTAAACCATTTTTATTGTAACCAGTAATTTTCAGGTTTTTGTTTTTAATTGTTCAGTATAGTTTTCAAGAAAATTGCATTCAAAAGAAGAAGAATGTAATTATATAATCAGTGGCCTTAATTAATTATGTAACCTACCRACGCTTTTTTGGTAAAATGTATGACTTACYAAAATTTTTATGGCCTACGTTAAGAAGTCAGTCACCCATTTTCACTAATAACATTATGCCAATGTCACCGCACGACTGGAGAGCGTATATATAGTGTGAAAAAGGTGTTTTCTATAATTATTCATGAAATAACCGTGAAGGATAAATCATTATTTTTAAATATTTGTTAAGTCAAAAATATTTATATACAATCTAGAATAACAAAGTTCTATGTGTATTTTATTTGCATATTAAAGCTACTTACAAATAATTATGTACACAATTCAATACATAACTAATACAAGATATCTATCTTAATATTTCCGTATAATACTAAAGAAAATGTCCATTAAATTATTCTAATATAAATATTTTATTATTAGATACCAAAGAAATATTTCCTGAAAACTGTATAATACTACTACTTACCCGTTCTTAAAACTTAGTTGAAATTAAAATATATTTCAAACCTGCATTGGGTCAACGATACATTTTATTTTGCACAACTGAGCAATTGTCACACTTGTCCTGTTTATTTAACTGTCATTCTGTTTGTACATGTCCGGTTATACAAATTGACCCAACTTGGTAGGAGGGTTTTTTAATTGAGTAGCTTTGATTTATTACGACATAAAGGAATACAAATTTCACAGATTAAATAATGTTGCAATACGATTAAATGAAATTCGTCGAGTTTTAAAGGCCTGTGTTTATTTTTCAACCAACTAATAATTTCATATAATATATTTTAAACTGAGGTACATTTAAAAATTGACTGCCATTAAATATTTCACATAGTACTGAGTATATTTTAGTGAATTRTAGTGTAATGAATTGTATGCATCTAGAAGTTATTATTATTCATAATATACCTTAGAAAAATATGAAAATGCAGTGCAGTTAATATTGAATTTTAGCACTACCTACATGGTGATTCATCTAAATTCCTATATWCATTTTTTCAAAAAAATGTAACTTCCTTTTTTAAATATTATTACCGGATGTTTTTTTTTTATTGCAAAACCAATTTTTTACAATTTTTTATTGTTATTTTTTTAATTATTTTAAAATGAAAAAATATATTTTTAATCTCTTATTTCTAAACAGAATATTTTTTAGAAGAACTTCAATACATTAAAAATTAAATTTCAAACGAGTATTTAATTACCAGGTAAATATTCTACTTTGGAGCGTGAAATTAAAAATATGTCAATCAAAAAGGTAAAAAATTTAAAAAAGCATTTTCAAACAAGTTTTAACTTCTAATTTATGATTTTAAATATTTAAATGGATCACCTTTTATAATTTTTCTCAACATACTCGTATATTTCGACTCTGATGTACAAAAATTTATTTCATTTTTTGTAATATTTTCMGATTTTTCATGAAGAACTTTTTGATTTTTCCGCAAACCAATCTTCACCCAAAATAATTTTTAAACAATACTTAACTAATGATCATTATTTCTTTAAATTAATACGACTATCTACGGTACTACATCCCAATATGACTTTAAAAATTATTTCCAACAGATATTGAATTCAGTGGCGTAGCTGAGGAGGCAAATTATTTTAATGGTCTATGAAAGTCACTAAAAAAGTTAAATTATATTTTTAAATAAAATAAGAAAATTCATTGCTATTTTATTTATTTTTCTACATGTTTAACTTATGAAAGAACCTAGGTAAACCACCGTTGTTTAAAAATTGATCAGCCTCCCCCCTCCCCTGAAGAAAAATCCTGACTACATCAACGATTGAATTAAACAGTTCTGCTTTAATATTATATTGAAGGTCTCCTTCTGGACAAAARCCTAACTTGGACTAACCACATCAACCCTAAAAGAACTTCGCTTAACCTCAGACTTTACAAGCTAATAGACCACTTCTCCAATCTAAAACCTCTCTTACTAATAAGACTCTAATTTGTTTGTACAAATATTACGTCCCGCAATCACTTACGGAATTCAACTGTGGGTACCTCGAAAAACTCAAACTTAATCAAATTTCAAGCATTCCAGTCAATATTTTTCCATGTCCTCACTAATGCTCCCTTTGCGGTACGTCAGCATCCGCATCCTACATCAAGACCTCAGCATACCACCAGAATCCACAATTGCTTCTCATCATTAWAACAAATTTCATAAAAACACCTTTAACCATTCAAATCTTCTCATATCTAATCTCTCTTCTAGTACAAGCCCTGACAACCCCCTMCGTCATCTCAAACACAAATGGCCGCGTGACTTATTAAATAATGCCTAGTACCACTTTATATTTATAAAGTTACCTTCCCCCTAAGTTCAAATTGGAAGTAGTATCACTGGACGCTCCCTTCTCTCATATTTTTCACGTCTTAATTATCATTTTGTAACTATCACATTTACTTATTATATTAATTATTRTATAATTTGTATATAGATTGTAAATTTTCTTTAATTAATAAAAAAAAAGTACCTATTATATTGAATGATACACCTATATAAGATCTTTGGCACAACGCACTTAGAACAGTTATTTCTGTTGGCCAATTAAAATATATTGATAATTGATAGATAATAAGTAAAAAAAATTTTAATGAACAATATCCATATCTAAACAAAACATTTTGACTATTCCAGAAATTTAACCAATTCGCATTTTCTTAACTTTTACCAATCTGATATGAAAACCAAAAATTAAATTATAATTGTCGGCTAGTAATTGATTACAGTACAAACAAGTTTAAGTCAAATATTGGTAAGTAGGTAATACAAGTATGTCATATAAAATCAGTGTTAACTACATTTTAAGCTTAAAATAGCCAAATAGGTAATAAATATGTAACCTTCTAATTACTAGTGCTTATAGTTCCTCTGTACTCTATTGTATTTWAARAAAAAATTTTTTTGAGTTTATATTCAATTTTTTTCAAAATAGAAAATTAAAAACAATTGAAATAAAATATAAAGACGGATTAAACAGTCTATAGAAGCTTTCCAGTGGAGGTATTACAACGACACGGTAAAATTACTACCGTTTGGTACCGTTAATAGGTCACAAGTCAAAACACCACTGTATATTACTTATGTCTATAGTATTCAAGATATAAAAACTTAAAATAACTTACATTAATTAATATAAACTGTTGGATTATGTAAGATTAATGTATTTCCTTATTAATTTACCCCTTAATAAATGTAATATACAATGTAATTAATATCATTCGAGAGTCTATTTAATAGATAAATATATAATATAAATACATTTTAATTAATGTTTATTCCTGTAATATAAATATTATTAATTAACCTATATAATCGTTATTCGTTATAGTGAATTAAATTATGTTATAATGATTCAATACTCACAGATTCAACATAATCATTAATATATTATTTAATTCTTCTTTATCTTATTAGTATATTATTGTATACATTTTTCCATAACAGTAATTTAATAATGGTTTTCATTTTTATTCGATATCACATTTCCCGTAGCATTTCGTATTTAAATTTATACGATTAAAATTATTGATTTTAATGAATTATACTCTTAAGTCTTAATGCACCTTATTTTTTTTTAAGATTCTTAATACAAAATATATGCTCAATGTATACGTGTAACTCGTTTAAGTAAACTATACTTTGAATATGATACCTATCTTTATGTACTAGTGGGTATATTATTTTTTATATTTTACATTCGCCACTGGTATCTACATATAGCTATCTCAAACAYAGACATACATATTGTACATGACGTATGACTTACGTACTGGTAATGCAAACAAGTTTAATATGCATTTAATATTTTAATGTGTTAACAGCAAATAATAACTGCATTAAATTTTTTGAACACATGCAGCAGCTGGCTTATTAATATTTTAAAATTATTCGTATGATACATTAAATAGGTAGACTAACCTATTATGTAGTAGTATATTCGCAAGCGTGTATTAAAAATATTCTTTATTTCCGACAATTTGTTTAAGGATTCTAATCGTAATAACTAATAACGAGGAATTAGATTAATAGGAAGTTTTTTTGAAAAGACTATTGCAAAGAAATGCACTCAAAAAACGACTTGTTGCTAGAATATGAAAATCAAACGGGGCATAGATGAAATGTCAATAAAAAAATAATAACATTTTGTACATAAAATAATATAATAGCATACATATATTATAGAGCCAAAAAATTTCAGTATAATATAGTTTTTCTGGTTTAAAGTTACAGGCTCTAGACAAACCCGAAAGCCACAGTTCCCTAAATTTAAAAATAAATTCTCAAAATAATAAACTTAATTTCCAGTAGACATAATTAAGCTTATTTAACACAACTTCCAATTAAGCTATATGATGTTCTTTTTGTGATATTATTATATTATTCACTATGAAGTACTGGGAGGTATCTTTATCATATGAATTTTCTTTTCATTGTGTCTAATATATTTGTATTTATACAAATTAATTTAATTTTTGGTCGCATGTAGAAGAAATTTTTTATAAACAATCTAAATAAATAATTAAAAATAAAATATATTAAATATAAATTTAAAAAAATAACATAATTTTAAAATAAACTGTTTACCCCTAACGTTGTTTAGACTCTAGAGTCTAGGTTCTAGAGTCTATAATCTAAATACAGTTTCTATAGCAAAATAATAAAAATAACCACAACTCAAACTTTTAAATCAGTAAATAAGAATGTATTAAGAGGACGTCGCACCCGCATGTGTTGTCTTCGTCTTACATACGTACGATATAGGAAATGTTCGTTCACTAGTTTCAATAGGGTATTGTCAGTTTTGATATTAGAGTGAATTCACCTATTATCAAACTTTTAGGTAGCAACATTATCTGTGTGTTATGAACATTTTAAAATATTCATAATTTACATACCCATAACTCACTTAAAAATTAAAATATCGTAAAAAACCAACGAGAGAACACAGATAATGTTGCTACCTAAAAGTTTGATAATAGGTGGATTCACTCTAATATCAAAACTGGCAATACCCTATTGAAACTAGCGAACTAACATTTCCTATGACGTACGTGTGTAAGACGGAGACAACACATGCGGGTGCGACGTCCTCTTAAAGAGGTTAGGTATTCTAAATGGTGAGATGGGCCACTTAACTATGCTTGTATATATAAATATAATCACTTATCTACTGAAAAAAAGTCATTTSTTAGCTAATAAAAAATATTATTATTATTATACTACCTACCTAATATGTCAAATGCTTCATCCGAACATATTATATATATATATAAATATATAAAAAAGTTATCAGAGACGTATTTAAGGGCTATAGCCTATAGGCGAAATAAATCCCCGCATTTACTGAGTTATATTTTTGTCTATTTCAAAAAATTGAGTTTAAAAAATGATATTAAAAACCCCTATATCCTACTCTTCCACCCCTCCCCGTACAAAATTGCTGGCACTGAAAATTAAGTAGGTATATAATTATTATGGATTATTGTAACTTATCAATAAATAGGTGTTTAGGTTTTTACTATTAATAAAATTACCTATCTCACTTGTATGACTAAAACATGATATCACATGATTTGTATTAATTATTGTTTAAAACAAGATAATACATAATCTATACAAAGTTGTACAGTAAGAGTATATAATAAAAGCAAAAATTAACAATGAAGCGAAAACATAAGAGCAGAAATCTCACATTGGTGACATCACAACACTACCTTAATAGTAGGTTAGTAAATACCTTAAATATCACAATGTAGATAATTAACGTTGAAATTAAAAACAAACAATTTAGATTTATTTGTTCGAATTTCTGACCGTAATTTATTATGTACCAGCCAATAAGTATGCATAATATGTACACAATAAGCAGGGCTCGAAATGGACCGGAACACAGTTCCGGTTCACGACAAAAAAATTGTTAGCGTTCCGGTTCGTAAAAAAAATACGTTTATCGTTCCGGTTCAAACAAATTTTTACTGTACCTACGACCTACCATATTTTTGTAAAATTTAAACA